CAACCTTAGGAGCCCTCTTGGTTTTCTAACCAAATAAAAGAGCATTGTAAGATAGCTTCTTAATATGGGCGCGCGGGGTAAAGTCAAAAAGCTAAATAGAGAATGTTAAATGTTGAAGCAATAGAACAGTCAATAGCCATCAACTCATGATCATGAGGGTAAGAAATTCAGAATTCCAATCTAATTTCCAATAAATAAATAAAAAAATATAACAGTTCTACTAAAAAAATAGAAAAGAAAAGAAAAGGAAATACAAGAGTTTTCCTATTTATTTGATTTTAACGAGATCGTTTTCACCAATGAAAGGGAATAATTACAAAGTGAAGAGATGAGAAGTCCTCGCAACCTAAACCAACGAAATCACAAAAATCCATTCCAATCTGCAACAACTATTACCTTTTAAAAAAAGGACAGAAATTACAATTAGTCAAGGAGCTAAAACAAATTAAAACGCACAAGTACAAAAACCACGTCCAGTTTTGCTGTAGAGGAAAGAAACCAATGGTGTGAGACAATGGTCATCTGTTAGCCAATGATTCTTCTCAAAATCTATTATATAAACTTATTGCTAAATAGATGCAAATTTTTCCCAAGCAAAATAAATGCAATAATTTTAGTGAAAATATACCTGTTAAAAATCAACCTTGATAGGAAATTGAGAAGATTTGATTGACCAAAACAATACAGAAAAAAGATGATAAGAAATAGAACCTTGGGCGAGGGGAATTACCCAATCAATCTATAAATTTGTAAGCAGATTTTTTAAACACTCAGCTAGTTGAATCCTTTTTTACGGTTAAACATAATTCATCCACAGGCACGCTGCATATGAATCTTCAACACTGATATTCAGAGTTTGCTGCTCAAAAGTAGAAAAAAAATCCTAAAATTTAGATTCAGCAGATGTGTACCTTGGAAAGATTCTGTATTTGACCGTGAATCCATAAGCCAAGCAACACCATTAGTGCAATTCCAAGGGTAACGAGAAATACAGATTCAATGCTGAGAAAACCACTGGCTTCAGCAACTTCAATGGTACCATTGAAAAATGTACTCTGATATGGATGCTGATCCATCTCATAAATGATGGTTCCAACAAGATCAAAATTCCCAGGCTGCACAAAGAGAAGAAATGCCTTTTTAGCTATTTTTAGGGCATGCGTGCTTGAAGTTCAAAAACACACAGACCAAAGAAAAATAACTTTGAAAACAACACATCAAATTTCAATGTAGAAGACCATCACAGCAACACAAAGACCTGAAGATATTTGCTGACAGCAAAAAAGTATGGGAAAGTTGCTTGTGAGGATGCTGGTACTGATGCATTATTAAAAGGCTGCAACCAAAACAAGAACATAAATGTAAGAAAATAATAGAAGGTAATCAACTAAAATCAAAACGCTGTAGAAAGCAATATGTACATACAGGCACATAAGAAAGCTTAGAACAAATAAATAAGACCTTTCGTTTTTACTTTTTTTAGAATAAAGAACTCAAGTTATGTGCAAAAAAGGACTTCACGAAAAAACCAAAATTATAGTGTGAGATTAAGTATCCCTTTGTAAACGATTAACAACTATGTTAAGGAGACCAAACACACCTACAATAGAATTCGCAAAAATCATGAAGAGCTCATAATCACAAAATAAGAAATTAACAGAAATCCAAGAGGAAACAGAAAACTATATCTTCAAATTCCACACGTTCTCTACATCTCTATTACAAATTTTCTACTATTTCTGTGATTATCTACGTAGAAAGGACTACATAAAAGAATGCAACACAAGTTCAGCTACAAGAATCAATGCAGTATCTTAACCTGATTGTAGTGCCTCCTCTTTTCTTGGCCTTAACCTGTGCACTTCTTTTAGTTTATCTAGTGGCCATTTCTTGTATCGAGTATATGTGGCAGGTAATTACTGTTAATGTATGTTAATAAGGTCGAACAGCAATACTATCTCCTCCTAAGCTTGTGGCTCAAGAAAGGTGATTTATATTATGGATTCTAATAAGCTAAAGCAGGCACAAAGCTCCAAGAGATGAGAAAGGCCATGCTTCCAGAGTTTGGTTCATATCTCACAGCTTTAACTCAATCAAGAATTCACCCCCCTAATATACAACATAAGTGAAATGACTGCTATATCACGAATACTTAAGCCCAGTGAGTAAAAGTTCTGGAATTTTATTGGCACAAAATCATGCTTGCAGATAGCAGACCAGATAAAGGCTATTCAGTGAGTTGATGAAAAGCGCACATATACATTAACCATGCTTTCACATTACCTGTGCAGTAAGATTTTGAATTAGTACTCGGTGATCGAAAGTGTAATGAACACTGGCTTTAATTGCAATGACATTCAAGCTAGAATCCCCTGTTTTTCCATAAAAAATAAATGAAGTAAGAAACATATCAAACAACTAGCAGCAACTGGAAAAGGAAAAAAAATATATGGAAGAACAGCAGTAACTCCATCATGGAGAATACATGAAGGACATTTTAAACAATCCTTTCAAGAAAAAGTTCTTAAATTGCAGCTTGAGGTAAAAGGGCAACCTCAATGTTTTTTGTGCACCCAAGCCCTAGTAAGCCTCACAATTACAAATAAAAAGATTAAACACTGCAGAAATTGGAAAAACAGAAAGAAACTCAAACTGGAAATCTTGCATTGCTGAGGAGACAAGACAGCATGGATTAACTATCATTAAAACCACATAAGGCACCAAATGAACTATAAAAATGCCATCTATTGCTGATTATAAACAGAAATATTAACAATATAGCATAATTAGTTGATAATTAAGGGTCAATTACCATCATTTTTCACTCCTGCTAATAACTCGGCCTCTTCTCCTGCCACCACAACTGCAATTGGGGAACTTATAGATTGATTACACTATTTTACATCGTATCCAGAATAATATTTTTCTGTTCAACTTAAATGGAATACTCACTACGTGCGCTATTTTTGGGGAAAACACACACGGTATCAACCCCTGGAGCCGGGCTAAAGCTCCCGTCACCAAAATCTTGCTCATCCTCCCCAACAGTCCCCAAGTCAGTGATATCTTTAACGGCCTCTTCAGATTCCACACTCGCATCCGATTGACATCTAACAACTATAGGAAATGAAAAAACGAAATACATATAACCTAAGTAGAACAAAATTATACATAAAAGTTCAGCACATTGTGGAAGATGGATAACAACTTTCAACGAAAGAACTAAAACAGCTTTTAATCAGAACGAAAACGTTTGAATCTCGCGTGTCAAAGTCCCTAAACGAACCCAAAGATCGAGCTTAATTTATACGGTTAATATGTACACGCTAAAAACGCTGCCCAATCCTTTTTGTGCATCCGTTCAAAGGGGAAGTTTTCGAACTGAAATCAGCTAGAATGAGAGTCGAAAAGCACCAGAGAGACAATCGAACAGCATATAAATGTCGAAAAAAAGAAATCACCGCGAAAATTATAGCTGGAATTTAGAAAATCTAACGCGCACAAATCCAACAGAAAATCGTCTCTCGATATACATGAATCGAACCGGCTCTCGATAAAAATGGAAAATTGAAACAATAACCGCGCATGCAAAATCTAAATTGGATTAAATCTATAAAGATAACAGCTTAAACATATGCACAGCAGAAAGAAAAAAAAAATCTAGATACAGAATCAAGGAGGCAAAACCTTGGAGAAAAGGCGACGCAAGGAGAAGGAGTGCAAAAAAGAAAATCCTGTAGGCCTTCGACGCCATGATTGAGAGCTCCGGATACTACTGTGGGTAGGTGCGTTGCTTGAGAAAGAAAATCAGTGAACAACGCATGGATTATCTTAGGTTCTCGGGTCAAATCGCTTTGGCCATATCAGTAAATTCACTCCTAAATTATAAAATTTACCTTCAATTTTGCACCTCACTAAATAAATAAATAAATATATATATATATATATATACATCTTTTATATTTTACTCCAAATAAGTTATATTTAAAAATAAAAATTAAAGTCGTAACAGTTACTTTTTATATCGAAATCCGTTAAATAATATTCAAGTTGATCTATTTTTTATATTTTACTAAAAAAAATTATATTTAAAAATAAAAATTAAACTCATGGTATGTTGTACTTTTTATATCGAACAGTGAATTATATTCAAATTAATGTATTTTAAAATCTGTTCGACAAAACCTTCTCTAATAAATAAAAGAAAATAGTGTAGACTAATAAATAAAAAAATAGTGTAGACTAATAAATAAAAGAAAATAGTGTAGACTAATAAATAAAAGAAAATAGTGTAGACGTGAACAAAATAAAAATAAAAAATAGATACAATTTTAATTTGATTTTTTAAATATTAATAAAGGAAATATTACACAATAAATGGAATTCTCCTTCTAAATATTAGAATATTTAATTCGTAAATCTAAATTCTTTTACCAAATATATATATATTTTATAAACTATTTGTCTAAAAAATCTTGTATAAACATAGCAATGACTCGTATTGCGCGCCTCTCGTCCTTCCATAGAAATAACAATCTAACGCACTATAGATCTCCGATTCCAATCTGAGCAAAGCCATAGCTTTTATTTCAACTCTATAAATTATTTATCTAATTCAAAATTACACCTAATCAGAGATCTAATATAAATACAATTACTCGTATTATTGCCTTGCCTCTCGTCCTTCCATAGAAATAACAATTCGAACCGTCTAACACAGTAAAGGTCTCCAATTTGAATCCGAGCACAGTCATATCGTTTATTTCAACTCTATAAATTATTTATCTAATTTAAAATTACACCTAATAAAAAATGTAATATAAAGACAATTACTCGTATTGTTGCCCTGCCTCTCATTCTTCCATAAAAATAACATTTCAAACAATTTGAAGTTCAACGAGAGGCAAGTCGATCTAACGACAACCTAAGCTCATTCGACCCCAAACTAAACAGCTTTCTAAAGAGAACAATATGATATCTCAATGCTACAAGCCAAATGCTTAAATAACACAATACACATCCCATTCACAACAAGAAAAGAAAACGGATACCATGAAAAAAGGGCTTGATATCATCTGTCAGTTAATTTCAAATTCCTTATTTCAAACATACTCAAGCGTGCATAATATGGCAGAGGTAAGAAAAAAACTGAGGATTCAAGGCATAAACCATACTACCCGTGCTGTATGTCATAGAATCAATCCCCGTGGATGGTGTACCGCTCCCATTTCTTGGTTGGATCGTATATCTGCAACGAACAGGTAAATCGATCCCCGTGGATTAAAGTTTGTGGAATTACCAAACAAGGCGAGTCGTCACATGAACAAGGTTACAAGCAGAACAAGAGATAAGAAGCTTACCTCCCATCTTGAAGCAGGAAAGATATGCTTATTCTTCTCGTACCAGTGCCTCTCAACAACTTTCCCAGCATGAGACTGTCAGAAAATAAAACAAAAACAAATGATGAGTTTAGAAAATGATGTAATAGTATCATCAAGAACATAACTTGTGATCAAGAACATAACTTGTGAAGAGGTATCTTCCTAAACTAAGTTAACTGGAAGATCCTATATCGGTTGGAGAGGGGAACGAAGCATTCCTTATAAGGGTATGGAATTTTCCCTATCGGACTCATTTTAAAACTTCGAGAGAAAACCTAAAAAGGACAATATCTGCTAGCGATGAGCTTGAACTGTTACATTAGCGCTTCTTGCTAGACTTGCTAAGTAAACTGGGAGATCCCACGTCAGTTGAAGAGGGAACGAAGCATTCCTTATAAGGGTGTAGAAATCTCTCCCTAGCATACTCGTTTTAAAACCTTGAAGAGGTGCCTGTAAGGAAAAGCCCAAAGAGAACAATATCTGCTAGCGGTGGGCTTGAGCAATTACATTAACGCTTCTTGCAAGACTTACTAAGTTAACTGGGAGATCTCATATCAGTTAGAGAGGGGAACAAAGCATTCCTTATAAGCGCGTGGAAATCTCTCCCTAGCAGACTCGTTTTAAAACCTCGAAAGGACGCCCGTAAGAAAAAGCCCAAAGAGGACAATATCTGCTAGCGGTGGGCTTGAGCTGCTACATTAACGCTTCTTGCTAGACTTTTATCATTCCAACGTGCATTTGATTAAATTTTGCCAATGAGAGGGGAAATAACATACATGGAAACCGCATATTATCAAATGCTCATAAGATACCACTGAATTTGATAAGACATGTATAAAGCTACTCTCTGCTTCCACAAACTTCAATGAACTTACATTGTCGAGCAATCATAATAAGAATGCATACGTAAAATAAATTTAAAACATATACCTCATCCTTCTCGATTGTTGCATCAGCAGTTGTCCGAACATCCTCATGTACGTCAAAGTGGAAAAGCTGAGAATCAAAAGAATTGCAAGTACATGACAACAGGGTAGTCATAGTTCATTAAAAATAACAAAGTTGTTCTCAATAAGATCTATCAATAAACCTGAAATCTAAATCAGAGGCAGTACACAACAAATTCTGGAATGATTACTCTCATGGAAACTTCCAAAAAATGCATTAAGCGAACACGAACACGAACTACAATTTCCAAAAAATGCCTAAAGAAGCCTTACCGGGCCACTTTTGCCTCTAGCCTTGTTCACAATAAGCTCATAGAAGCTATGTTGCTGCACAATAGAACAAAAAACTCAGCACACTCACCGAGAAGCAAAGACCAAAAACAACATCATAATGATTTCGAGTTCTATTACGTGTGGTATTATAAGATCCTCCTTCACATAGAGCAAATTCTCTACCGAGGTAGTCCTTATCTCCCGAAACTCAGGAGCGAGTTGCTGCTGTACAGCCCGCAGAAACTCTCCAATTCTATCACCTTTTCGTGCCTAAAAGAAAACAAAAAACAAATACAAGGCTCAAATGAGCTCATGAAGCGATACGAAAACAGGATTATTTCTGGTTGATCATTAATAACCTGAATGACTCGTCTATGCCCAGTTCCATCCCAATAACTGTAAGTAATTTGAAGTGGCTCGCCTGCGACACAAGGGAAAGATTTAATTACTTCGTTCGGTACCATATCATCTAATATGCAACCATGAAATCTATACAGGGCTCAAATATAAAATTACTTCGAATTTGCTCCTGCTCCCGAAGCCACTGTTTCTTAAGCCTTTCACGCTCAGCTTGCTCCTCAGCTTCCCGCTCACTGTAATAGAATCCTCAATCCCCCTAAGCTAAAACATTAGTCCCAAAAATATATATAAGATGTAGGGAGAGTAAGAGAAAGAAGGATGCCACACCTATCAGGCAAAAAGCTAGTCTCCACTGTAGGATCTTTCCCAAGTTTATCACGCCCAAGCTTCCTTGGCTCCAAATTTTCTATGAAGCACAAGCACAAGTTTGGATTATTAAGTGGTCATGGCTAATAGGTTACAACATCTTGACACCGACACGAGAAGTCGATTTCCTTCAAACTATTACGTCAAACTGGTATGAGTTCTATACTACATAAGTCTCGTCGTACAAAAATGAAATATATTTCAGATAGAACAAGAAAAATGCTTACTATTATCATCGTCCTCATCGCTTCCATTCTCAAAATCATCAGAGAAAGACAAACGTGAATTCCCCCTTATTTTCCTTTTCCTCCGTTTTTGCAATTGGAGTTCCTCTTCCCTGAAGACAGGGAAATAAAAAACAATGAAGGGAACGTTAGAAATCACGATTCTCTAGAACAGTATGATATTGTCCACTTTGAGCATAAGATCTCATGGTTTTGCTTTTGGTTTCCCCAAAAGGCCAATGGAGATGTATTCCTTACTTATAAATCTATTAACAACGCCCTAATTAGAAGAAGACAATGAGAAAACTCACTCTCGTTGTAGCTTTTGAAGTTTCTCCTTCTCCTCCTCCTCAAATTTGTTTCGAATGTTCACTCTCTATGGTTAAATCAACAAAAACAAACGGCTTACAATTTACATATGCTTTTATCAACAGTAACAGGAAAAGTGTTCATATCATATTTTCTTTCTTTACCTTCTCAACATACTCTTCTCTCGTCACCAGACCAACAGTTTCCTTCTTGAATGCTGTTTCAAGAATCTGAAATACGTCCAAGAATTAAACAAAATTTCAACACAAGACCTAAATATCTGGTGGCAAAATCCACCGTCGAAATTCGTAAACGATGTAAGCCAGAGAAATTAAAATTTAATAAGAACCTCAGAGGTACTGGAGCCAAATTGAAGGAGACCAGGCTGGCCTTTGTCGGAGGCAGTCTTGGCCTTGAGCTCCTGGATTTTCCGGCGCTCGGCTTCCCTCTGCTTCTCGAGTCTTCGAATCCTGACGGCGTCTTGGGCAGTGCCGACGTATCCATCTCCCATGCCCGACATCTTCTTCCGATCTTTCTACAGTCGTCGCCGGCGCGCTCTGCGTCACGCGGTCCCGAGTTGCCGCCTTTCGGAATGGATCGAAGGTGGAGCAATAAAGCGTTAATCCGGAATTTTATTGAATTTCGAATCCGTTTGAGTTAAACCATCATTTTTAAATATTGTAATTAATTTAATTTTGTAGATAGAAATATCATAAAATTCGTCCAATATTTATGAAATTAAAAAATAAATAAATTATATATATTTTTAATTATAATTTAGTGTCTACCATTTTTAAATATTGTAATTAATCTCAATTTACTAAAATTATTAATAATTTAGGATGCTTTTATCAAACGATTTGTTTAAGATGAGAAATAATAAAATAACAAACTAAAAAAAATAAAACAAAATGGTTAACTATTTATTTTATTTTCAATTTTTTTAAATACAATACTTTTTTATTATTCCTTAATTATACGTGTATATATATATTTATTTATTTTCGAGCACGAGTTTTTGTCGGTAAAAAAGAAATCAAATGGATTCAAGAGGGCTTTTCGAGAACGTATCAATAAGCTAGACCCATGCGTCGAGTTGTTTCATGCCATATATAAACGCGAACACTTAAGAAATCTGTCGGACAGATAGATTCACATCTCTTACAACCAACACAGTCTTTCTGACTTTCTATTCCTCGAGAAGCGCTTTATTTTCATTCATTCATTGATTGAAGGTAGTTGTAGCTTGCTTCCAAGTCCATGTGTGGGTATTTTTAAAATAAAATATTTTATAATAAAAAATAATACTTTTACTAATTTAGTCTTTTATATTCTAAATCTATTATTACAATAAAAAAAAATTAAAGTAAAAACTTAAATAAGTTTTCGACCGAACATAAAAACAAAAATATATTTACGTTTCCATCTCTCATCATTAGTTTGAACTTTCCACTGGCCGACATCTTATCCACAGTGTTTTGCATCGAAGATGCATCTGAATTCTGAAAGAACTACAGACACGTCGTCAAACCGTTAGTCCCGACGGAACTTAGGACCGGTGGATGTCTCCGGCAGCCATGGATCAACGACGCGACGCTCCAATTCCGAATCCAGTCACACCCTCCATTGAGCTTTCAGGGCACCCAAATCGCTCCCAATCCAGTTCCAGGTCTGTTCTAGAATCCGCCATTTCAAATTCCTTTTGTTTTTCCGATGTATCGATCACTCCATTGAGCACGGCTAGGAACCACGACCTCCACATATGATATTGTCGGTTGGATGAAGAAGAAAAGTCCCACGTCGACTAGTTTAGGGAATAGTCTAGGGAATGATCTTGAGTTTATAAGTGAGGAATACTAACTTCATTGGTACGAGGCCTTGGGGAAGCCCAAAACAAAGCCATGAGAGCTTATGCTCAAAGTGGACAATATCATACCACGGTGGAGATCCGTGATTCCTAACATGGTATCATACCATTGTGGAAAGCCATTGTACTTTGTTCGAGGGGAGATGTTGGATGAAAAAAAAAAGTCCCACGTTGGCTAATTTAGGGAATGATGATGGGTTTATAAGTGGCTAATACGGGACTTCTCTCCCAACCATCCTCCCCTCGAACAAAGCACACCATAAGAGCCTCTTTTGAGGCGTATATAGCCGTCGAACAACCTCCCCTTAATCGAGACTTGATTCCTTCTCTAGAGCCCTCGAACAAATACACCATTTGTTCGACACTTGTGTCACCTTTAATAGAAGAATCGCGTGAGGTGATATAGATTTACTTTTATGTGCATACTAACAAGACTAGATGTGAGATTCCACGTCCGGAAAACGAAACATTTCTTATAAGAGTGTGGAAACCTCTCTCTATCAGACACATTTTAAAACTGTGAGGTTGACAATGATACGTAACGAGCCAAAGCGGACAATATATGCTAGTGGTGGGTTGGGCTGATACAATGGTATTAGAGCCATACACTGAGCAGTGTGCCAACCAGGATGCTGGGCCCCCAACGGGGTGGATTGTGAGATCTTACAACGGTTGAAGAGGAGAACGAAACATTTCTTATAAATGTTTGGAAACCTCTCCCTAAGAAACGCGTTTTAAAACCGTGAGGCTGACAATGATACGTAAGGGCCCAAAGTGGACATTACATGCTAGCGGTGGGCTTGGGCTGTTACAAATCGTATCAGAGCCAGACATCGAACATAGTGCCAGCGAGAATGTTGGGCCTCCATGCAGGGTGGATTATGAGATCCCTCATCGGTTAGAGAGGAGAACGAAACATTCCTTATAAGGGTGTGGAAACCTCTCCCTAACTGACATGTTTTAAAACCGTGAAGCTAACGACAATACGTAACGGACCAAAACGAACAATATCTGATAGCGATGAGCTTGGACTGTTACAAATGATATCAGAGCCAGACACCGAGCGGTGTGCCATCCAGGACACTGGGCCTCTAAGGGGGGCAGATTGTGAGATCCCACGTTGGTTGGAGAGGAGAACGAAACATTCCTTATAAGGGTGTGGAAACCTCTCCCTAACAGATGCATTTTAAAACTGTGAGGCTGACAACAATATGTAACTGTCCAAAGCGGACAATATCTGTTAGCGGTGGGCTTGGGCTGTTACAAATGGTATCAAAGCCAGACACGGAGCGATATGCCAGCAAGGATGCTGTCCTCCAAGAGGGGTGGATTGTGATATCCCACATCAGTTGGAGAGGAGAACAAAACATTCCTTATAAAGGTATGGAAACCTCTCTAGAACATACGTGTTTTAAAACTGTGAGGCTGACAGTAGTACGTAATAGGCCAAAACGGACAATATGTGCTAGCGACGATTATATTACTCCAAGAAGTTAATATTAGTTCATCATGCACTTTGGTTCACTTGCAGCTAGCCCAGGAAAAGAATGATCTAAGAGAAGAGAAGGCCTCACTCAAATCTGATATTGAGAATCTCAATTCTCAATATCAGCAAAGACTCATGGCTACTAACTCTATTGTCATGGCCCCTGCTCCCTTTCCATTTCCAATGCCAATGCCACCAGGGCCATTTCCTCTACATCCAACCTCGCAGCCTTACATGTTCTTCGGCAATCAAAATCCTGGAGTGATAGCAAACCCATGTTCCCCGTTCGTCCAATACATAGCTCCTAATTCCATGGCTGAGCAGCAGTCCTCCCGAAATGCACCGCCTTTCGTTCATCCAAGCAACCATGATTCGTCGTTCTCGAACGACACGAACAGGAACGAAAATAATCCATCAGAAGTAGAACTAGAGGAGAGTTCTTCAAGTGAATGTTCTTTATCTCGTAGTTTAGAGGCTAATTCGTTCAGTAGCACACTTAATGGACGAAAAACTACTTGATATATGTGGAAACACATAAAAGTTCAGATTCGCCCCAGATGGTATGATATTGTTCGCTTTGAGTATAAGCTCTCGTGGTTTTACTTTTAGTTTTCCTAAAAGGTCTCGTACCAATAGAGAAGTATTTTCTTACTTACTTACAAACTCATGATCAACCCCTTAATTAGCTGATGTCGTTGTTGATGTATGATAGATGATATTTGGTGTCAGAAGGAAATGACTCTGATATTATGTAGAGGTGAATGGATACATGCACGATATCACGAGGGATTATGTTCAAAATTTTGGAATCACGGGACGAGAGTTGTCGGTCTCGAGCTTGGTCGAGGGGGTGAGGCCATTAATGCTGCAGCTATCAAGAAGTTTGAAGGTCTTGAATGAAAGGTGGAAAGGCATTCAAATCAAGAGTGCCCAATACCAGATATATTTCAATTGGTTCACGGGACATAGAGAGTTGTGGAGCCCTCTATGTATGGCTTGAAATCTTCTTGGTCTTTATCTAGCAGCGTTGTGTAACGAAGATTTAGAGGAGCTGAGTTTTCGTGTTCGAGAAATGTTGAAATAATCGATATCTTATCCACTTAGTTATGCTATGAATTGATATTAGTGTCGGTTACGGTGACAAAATGAATGTTTTGAAGTAACGCTGTCAGTCAGTAATGTGGGTTGGCTTGAATTACTAAGGGCAGTGCGCTTTGGGATGTGGAGGAGATATTATCGTCCAACTCCGTAACCTAATGTGGCATCGAGTTCGGGCTGTAGGGAATTGTAGCATGGGAGGACGTCTAATCCTTTTGTTGCTGCAAGGCTGGCTAATTGTATGCAGAATGCTCAAAGACCCTTTATTTTGGAAGACACGTGAGTTTGAACGCTATGTTGAATGTGCCACTGATACTACACTACGTAGGTACATGTGCATGTGAGGCGTCGGGCGGTCCTAGAAACAGCGGCAAGGTTCAAATAATATTTGAAGCTAATTATAACTTCAAACTTTCAATTTAATTAATTACTCAAACTTTTAATTTTATTTACACTTTTTTAGAAAAAATAAAAACCATATTTAATTTTAAACAAAAAATTATTATTTGACGTACAGAAGTTTGTCTGTGGGTACCTGGAGAGTGACGACACGCGCTTCCCACATCCACTTTATTGACTCACACTCACCTAATCCCGATCAAGCGGCGGAGGAGAGCCGGAGCGTGCGCCAAATATAACTCCGAACGAAGCCTGATATTTACCAGAGCCTCGAAGGTATCCCTAGCTAAGCTCGGCCATGGCGGTGGTGTCTACTTCTCTTGCATCTCAACTCTCAGCTGTCCGATTGTCAGGTTCCAACTCCGACATTTCTCAGACTCTATTGCAAAACGTTCGCTCACAAATCCGCCTTGCATCCTCAAGGAAAGGCTCCCGTGGCGTTGTTACCATGGCCGGCTCCGGAAAGGTATTGAACCTTTTTTCATTAGTTTATTCGCGTTCGGCGCTTGAATCGTTTCGGCTCCCTGAAGAATTTCAGATTCGTGTAAGAGGACGAGAAGCTACGAGGAAACTTTTTGCTTATTTCTAATTTCTAATTATTATCATTCTTTGTTGTATTTGCAGTTCTTCGTTGGTGGAAACTGGAAATGCGTAAGTATCTTCATTATCGATAATCTTATTGCTAAAGATCTGTGGTGGATGGTTATATGTCAAGCAAAAAAATTCTTATGTACGGCATACGTGCATCCTATGATTTTTCTTCAAATCATTCTATTTTTCTGTTCTGTCCACAATCTCTCGAGCATCCGTATAAAACATAAGTCTTTTCACCATGTTTCTAGAACTTTGCTTTTCGGTAACAACTCGCGATGAGAATGTGGTTGATTTTCATTTATTTATCAACTATTAATTGGTTTAGTTGGATTTGTATGAACCTCTTGTTAGCTACTAAAGGCAAATATGTACAAATCATTTGAAATAGATAAAGCATTTAGATAAATAGACCACATTCTTTTGTCTGTATTGTTAGTTGGACACGACTCTCCACAATGGTATGATATTGTCCACTTTGAGCATAAGCTCTCATGGCTTTGTTTTGGGCTTCCCCAAAAGGCCTCATACCAATGGAGAGAGTATTCTTTGATTATAAACCCATGATCATTTCTTAAATTAGTCAACGTGGGACTTTCATCATCCAATATGTATAACTTCATTTTCATGGGCAAAATGCTTTAAGTTTGAAACTGGTTAGGCTCAAGCTATCCCTTCTTAGATCATACAAAGGTTCTTCTGCCACTTCTGAATTATAATGATTGAAATCTTCATAAACTTTCCTGTCTTCTAATACTTGATCATTAGGAACCCTTTGTTGTTTACGGTTTGTAAGTTTTTAAAATGTACTGGATCCATTATAGTACCCAAAATAAAGTCAGTTTTCTTCCTGCTACTAATTATTTCTGATTTGTGATCGACTTATATTGATTCTTTCCTCTTTATTCTAATTTCCAGAATGGTACAAAGGAATCTATATCCAAGCTTGTCGCAGACTTGAACAATGCAAAGTTGGAAGATGACGTTGGTAAGTTAAGTCTTATATTGGAGGATGCCTGTTATCACCGTTTCATTATATGTTCTTGTTATAAAAAATAAAAAGGTCAGGTTTGAGGTTGCAATTTTTCCCTCTCATATTCACTTGGCAATCAATTACGCAATTCCTAAAAAACAAAGGTGGCGTTTGATACCGGCCTGTTCCTAACTTTATTACATCCCCTCCTTTTTTAAGAACACTCATATCAAGACATCTATCAATTTGATAGTGGGTTAGCATTAGACTTTTGATATAATTAATATTGTATTAGAGTAGAAGGTTCTTTGCTCATCCTGTGTTTGAACTCCCAAAATGTAACGACCCGACTTCTCGCATACGTACCGGTCGGAAATGTCACTTAACACTAAAAGTTTATAGTTTAAAATACATGAATAGATGCTAAAAGACACTTTAGTGAAATCATGCTTGGGTACACCTTTCTAAAGAAATTTTGCAAGGCATCCAATTTAACCAAATAGTTCCTCGGTGAGCATACATATCTAACCGGATTTAGAAAATAAAACGGTTTGAGTTTTAATAGAAAGGTCTATTATCTAGAGATTTCGCAATAACAATTTAGACATGTGGGTCCTATTCCCACTTTCCAAAAAGAATTAAGCTTGGTTGGTTAGCATGTCGAACCTCCAACTTTAGTATTCCGGTTACTATATTTACATTTATAGGTGACTATTAGTGGTATGTTGCATCCAAAATCAAGATGGGAGTAAAATAACAAGCCCCACAAAACTAACTGTTTTCTCCTCCAAACGATGGTTATGGCGGCAATGGTGCAGTGTGATGGCAATATGAGCGACCATACATGGCAGGGCAGTTGGTAGCTGTCATGACGGGTGTGGGCGGCAAAGAGAAGGACAAAAATAGGAGAAGGGAGGCGATGGTGTGTATAAGGAAGGAGAAGAAGAGGAGACGGTGGCGAGGTTTTGATCTGCATACTACAGAGAGAGGAGGTGGCTAGGGTTTTGTTTTTTCGTTTTTTTTTTCCCCTTGGCTAGGCTTTTACATAAATTGTCATTTTCTCCCCTATTAATATTATGTTTCACTGGTTGGCTCTTCCTACAAAATTTCAAGCCCACAAGTGTTGATATAATTGAATTTACCATAACTCATCAACTTAAGTTTTTGGTTTGATTGGTGATTTAATATTTACATTAATTTATTAATACATCTGAATGGTTGATGAGGATGAATGACATTTTTTGTATTCTTTTTTTTTCCACATTTTTTATTATACTCTTCAAGTACATTCTTCTGAAAAAAGATATTTGGATGTGGGCGGAGGAATGCAGATGTTGTTGTAGCACCTCCCTTTGTTTATATTGATCAGGTGAAGAGCTCGTTGGCATCAAGGATTGAGATTTCTGCCCAAAATTCATGGGTGAGCAAGGGTGGTGCTTTTACCGGAGAAATCAGGTTAATCTTGCTTGCCCTTGATGAGACATTTTAATTTTTTAGTACCTATAAATTTTTATTTATCTTAATTCATCTATATTTGTTGATTATATTTTGAACGTAAAGTACTCTGAAAAAATATTTTTAGTCCATGCAAAACTCTTGATTTTACACCATTTGACGAGGGTGAAAATTTAGGTTGGAAAATTCAAGTAGTCTGCTTATTTATTGATCTGCAACTGAGATACTGATGATGTTTAACACCATAATGCTAGTGCTCTATTGATGATTTGAACTGCTTTTAGTTGTTGTGTGTTGTAAAAATTACTTCTTGAAATTTTAGAGTTGTGTTGGCTTAGAGAGAGTAAGTTCAAGCCATGATGACGATCTACCTATGATTAATACCTTATGGCTTACGAGTTATCTTGGCAACCATGGACCAAGCATTCCATGAGGACAGTCGAAGTGTGCAAGTTGGCTTCGATACTTACGGGTATATATACACACACATATAAAATAAGAGTTTGAGAAATTCAAGTCCCTAAGAGACTTTGATGTTTATAAGTTACCCTTGCTTAAGCCGATAATTTTATTTAATTTAAATTGTTAGCTTTCCTTTTTGAGCTTTTTTACCTTTTACGGGGAAGGCTTTCGAAGAGCAATTGTGCATGATTGAGCTACTTTCTGTTTAAGATCAGATGCCTGTTAAACTTGTCTTTTCCTTTGTAACTCAATACTGCGGATTTTTCAAAAAAAATGTCTCATGTGTGTTTTGAGTTTTCCGCTTACTAATATATGTTAGATCTTTGCATTATTTAAATTAATTTGTATGTGCTGCAGTGTTGAACAATTGAAAGATCTAGGCTGCAAGTGGGTTATCCTTGGGCACTCGGAACGTAGACATATCATTGGTGAAGATGACCAGGTGAATGTTATGAAATTGAGTGGTTCCCAAGACATCAGTGTTCAAGCTGATTCTCTCCAACGCTGACTGATGCTTTGGCAACTGTAGTTCATAGGAAAGAAGGCTGCCTATGCCTTGAGCGAGGGTCTTGGAGTAATGGCTTGCATTGGGGAATTACTAGAGGAAAGGGAAGCTGGGAAAACTTTCGATGTTTGC